CCCGAGTCGCGCAGCGACGAGGGCAATTTCTGCAACTTCCGAAAACACAAGTGATATTAATCCTTAATTTTACGAGGAAACATGTGATTACTTGTTTATAATATAAGGGGCAAAATGTTTTCTTACTGATCTCGCGCAAAACGGGACGCCATTGATACAAAACAAACTGAAATTTTTTTACCTTATCAGCCGTTGCTAAGCGATTTTCAGCCGATCATTTTCAAGTAATTTTGTCCGGGGTAATTACAAAAATTAAGAAAAAATGCCCTCTGTCTTGACCAATCACAATTCAGTAATTTTTCTCCTTATATGATAAGAAATATAATTACTGTTTACTTACATCCGATTTTTCTGAGAAAGCCAAATTCTTAGAAGTTTTTTTTTTTATTTATTTTTTTTTTTTTACAATCGTTTTAATTATATTCCGTATCCTTATTTGAGAATTGTCCTTTCATTTTCCTTTCCCGACTGCTTGTGTCGAGATTTAGATCTAAGTTCATTCGTAATAAGATTTTACAAAGTTGTAATTACGAGAGTGAGTAAGAAGGATTCCCTTCGGAAAGAGTAAACCTATCTCCAATGCTATCGTCGCAACAAAGAAATACACCCGTTAACGTCTGTATCCTTGTCCACAGTGATAGTACAAATTTCTAGCCCTTAAAGCGACGACTTCCTTATAATTGTCTCATATAACGCAGTGAAAATTTTATGAGTCTCTAACTTTCGGTTTTGACTTCGAAAGAAAAATAGAGAAATTCGCACATACCATGGCGAATGATTCGAATAGTTAATAAAGAAATAACCCAAAAGAAAGATATTTGATCGCTCGCAATAAATAGATTTGAGAACAGAAGGTAGGCATTTACAATCTGTCTGTAACGATTTTCTTTCGTCTTCAAGTTAAAAAACCTCCATACTCACCTATATTATACCTTTGTGTTAAGAAACTGATCGGTTTGAGGCAAGTTTTACATCATTTTGAAGCTGTTATCCCTCCGGACTTCGGCTACTTCCTGGTTGCGGATTGACCTCTGTCGAACCAATCTTTTGCAGGCACCTAAAACTGAAAAGGCATGGGCTTGAACGTCTAGCAAGAAGCCGTAAAAGACGTAAAATAATCACCGTGCATCACTGCCAGGTGGTGTGCGCACTCTGATTGCATTGCCTCATGGTCGTAAAACAAAAAGTGAGTCATTTGCATCCTGTCGCGGTCGAGTGAACATCTTTGGTGATAGCGTGAATATAGGTGGAAGATAATAGGGATTCACTATCTGCGGCCTATTCTTCCAAAGTTAAAAACTTTTGACGGGCCTGCGCGACTTCTGTCATTCCTCGAGGAAACAGAATAGGAAAACAACCCCTACAAACTACTCAAAGTCCGTTTTCCGCGGCAAAATCTGGCGCATGCGCATACGTTGTTTGGCTCTGTCCCTTTGGGCAGCTTAGTTGTGATAAACGTATTGTGTATTGTCGACGTGTCATGGGAAAGGGAGAAGGAAAATCTTGGGGACTACTGTCAAATACGTTCAGGTTAGATACAGATCCACACGCCGTTCGCGGTAGACCTACTATAAAAGATGTCCAGCGTTTTCGGAAAGGGTCGTTCCGCGAACCCATCAGTGCAATCAGATGAGTGCAAACGAGCTTCCTATGAGATACAATGTAAGATACCAAACGAGAAATGTATGAGCACAAAATATGAGCGAAATGACAAAATTGTGACCATTGACTTACTCTTAACGAACTCTTAGACTAAATTGAACTACTCTGATGTCAACGAAAACAAGTATCTTAATGAGCAGAGCTTGAACGACACAAACAACAACAAGCAAGTCACTATATTGCATGGAGCAAAAGATAGTTTAGGAAACAACTGGAAAAGTACTTATTTCGTGTATGTAGCTTTCTCGCTGAATATCCTGATTTCTTTGCTTCTTTTTGTTGTGTTAGATGCTTATAAAATAAAATTCGATTTTGCGTTTAAAATTACAGTAAGCATTTTACATGTGTTCGTTACTATTGACGTAAATTCTTAGTTTATACTCATTAGAAAGTATTTTAAGCTTAAATAGTCTTGAGGAATGTAACACAGGTGACAAAGTTATCAATCAAACCAATGTATATCAAATACTTGCAGTTTTTTTCATGCAATTTGCCAATAAGTGAATACATGAATGCATCTCACGTAGGTATAATTGTACCAAGTACAATGTCTGCACTGATATACACAAAAACCCTGCTCCTGATTAGCACAATGTTGACCCTACGAAAACAATTCTAGCACCATACAGTCAAGGTGATGTTGCTGTGTTTGGACAAAATGCTGGACAACAATGTGTTGCAATGAGTTTGTGTGCTTTAATATACTCTAATTTGAAGGGAATGAGCTGTCCTGATGACTTGATACAAATTATGATTATTGGAAATCAACTTTATTCTAGTTCGTCACAATTAGCCGTACAGAATCACCAACAATGCTTACAGTGTTAGTACAAAATTACAACTTTGAATATTGTGAAAGCTACAGTGGTAATGTACATGATGAGGTTGCAATTGAGGGATATCAGTACTGTGTGTCCTGGGAGAGAGCTTTTGAATCACTGATATCACAACAGTACAATGTTATGCTGTTGGTATTATTTACTGTGTTGATAATGGTAATTTCAAAGTGATTGACTTTCAAGAAAATGATGTTTATGGCAACAACCATCCTCAAGGGACATGTGTACCATTAGATTTGCCATCTATGCTTAACTTAGTTCAATACTTTCAGAATTCATATCAATCTACTGTTGTTTTTTAACTCAAAGGGGTACATATTACCAAATCTGACATAACATGGGACAATGAGAAAGAAAGTAACACTATATATAGCAATCAAAACAACTGTGGCAATATGCTGTGTTCTACAATTATAGCACTTTATTCATTATGTTACCCTGTCATTTCACCATGGAGGTACTGGAATTCAAATATTTTTAGAAGCACTCATACAAAATGGAAATCATCTTTATAATCAGTAAATTGGGCATCAACACCCATGTCACACCTTCTGATGTACCTAAAGTGTTGCTGTGGTCAATGTATTAATGAATAGCATATATGAAGGCAAATTGTCATATAACTCAGCTCAAAGCAGGACAAGCTTAGAAAACTTAACTTACAAAACCATGATCAAAATACTGGATTTTTAATGTGGCTTTCCTTCACTGTATTGCTTGTATTCATCAACAAAGCACCAGAATAAAACATTTGTTTTCTCTACTGATGTACAGTTGTACACTTGCACTAAAACATATTAAGCACATCAATGGTATACGTACACTAGTAGATGCAATTATTAGTTTCATTCAGAATACAATACAGAGCGAGCCAATGTATGACATATGATTAGTATGCTGTTCAAGTGAAATGTCTTAAAATGTAAGGAGAAAGATAATACAAAACCATAGGAAAAATATAACTAAAAATACAACTATGAAATAGTAATTTAAACACTAATGGCAAGTTTGATCTTTTTTATGACTAAATAAACTCTGTTTGCAAGAAGCACATATACCTTATAAGAGGCTCTCAAGAAGGAGGTTAAAACATCATGCAAACCTTGAATCACTAGAGAAATC